CTCCAGCCCTAAGGGAGGCTGGGGGATGGCCTCTTGTCTGGATGGAGCCCTGCCTCTCCTGTCAATACAAAACTTCCTCCTCCAGGAAGCCCTCCCAGACTGCCTCTTCCTTGGGCCAATAGTGTCCAGGCCTTAGTCACCAACCAGCTCAGACTTGGATGATGGCTGCACTCACGTGGGGCCCCTCCCCCACCTCCAGCAGCAGGCAAAGGCATTAGGATGCAGATGTGGGACCCAACAGACGTGAGATTCGCCCTGTGCCTGCACCTGCTTTGGACCAGACATAGCCTCTCTGAGTTTTGATTCCTAGCTCCACCACTTGGATGGTACCCTCTTCCCTCCTCAGCACCCCCCCCCAGGCTCCAGGTTCCTATCTGGCTCCCTGGAAGCCCTGGCAGTGGACCAGAGCCCCAGAGCCCCAGACCAGCTCTGCTCCTGCCAGACACACTGTATGGCGAGGAATCGTGCCTTCCTGTCCCAGGCCAGCACAGGGACACACTGGCCCTGGCCACAGGCAGAGTCCCTGGCCAGCCACCTGAGCCCTGGAATCCTGACGTCACTTCCCAGACCAGCCCAAGCCCCAGGCAGCCCCGTCCCAACCTCACCTGGCAAGCCCCTGGCAAGGCACTGCTGTGAGTCCTGCAGCATGATGTCCCCCACCCCTCGGCTGGGAGGCCTCTGCCCCAGGGGCCGGTGGGAGTCCCAGCTCGGTTCTGGGGTGCCTTCCACCTACAGCCGTGACTCACCTCCCACGCCTGGCAACCCTCACCCCAGCCCACCCTGTGCCCACTGCACCCCGACCCCACACACCTCCAGGGCCCAGATCCGCCACCAGGTTCTCTGGGTCTGTCCCAGTGAGGGCCGTGCCCCAACAGTCAGTGGTCAGCGGTCAGGGCACAGGCTCTTCCCCAGTCCCTCCACCTGCTCAGGCTCCCACCACAGGGAAGGGGAGAAACGGGCCATGCCAGCCCCATGCCTGGGGCCAGAACTATGGCTGCTCAGTTCACACCCTACCCCACCTCGGACAAGGTGGTTCCCCCCACAAAGGGCAGCAGTGCCCACCTCTGCTGCACACCTGTAAGGCGCCTGTCCAGTCAGGGATCCTGGCCAGGCACCAAGGTGTACACGCAGCTCTCTCTAGCCACTCCCACCCCCAGCCCCGCCCCCCACCCCCAGGTTGGCATCTCAGCCTCACTGTCCCCTCAGCCAATGAGAAGCACTCGCTCCTTCTAGGATGGGCCCAGGAACCCAGGGGGTCCAGGGAAGGCTCTGCCTGGGAGCACCCCACCCCCAGTCTCAGGGCAGGGGTGCACCCAGCCCAGTGTCCGGACAGCCTGGGGGGACCCCAAGCCCTGGAGATTTGGGGGGTGAGTGAGACCACCTCAGCTAGACTCTGGGGCCGGTCCCTCCTTCCTTCCTTCTCCTGACAGGAGTTCCCGAGTGCCTACGTAGGCCAGGCTTGACAGCACCGCAGCCGCCCAGGCAGGCAGGCCGTGTCGGGTGAAGCAGGCCTCGCAGCCGAGGGACACAGACCAGCTGGCCCCTGGCTTGCCCACCAGGTGCCGGGTCGAGCTGGGGAGGGTGGGAGACGAGTGGCGAATCCAGGAGAGTGAGGTGGGCAGCAGAGCCACCCCTCCACCTAGCCAGGTTCAGTGAGGGGCCAGAGCAAGTGACCTGGAGAAGGGACAATCCGACAACTGGAGGACTGAATTCAGTGGGGACAGGACTGAGAACCGTGCTCCCACTGACAGGGCGGCATCTGCACCAGCCAGGCGGCATCTGGACCCAGACCCCCCCCCAAGCCTGCTTCTGTGGATTCGTGCACTGGTTCTTAATAAACGCCAGCTCGTTACGTTGGCAACCCCATTGCGCAGACCGGAGAACTGAGGCTGGGGGTTCTGCTGGACAGAGTGAGAGCTCCACCAGGTAGAGGATTTACAGCTGCGGTCACAGTGGGCTCGGGCTCAGCTGCTACTGGAGGGAGGGGGCAGCAGGCAAGAGGTAGAGCACATGCTTAACACGCACAAGGTCCTGGGTTAAATACCCTGTTTAAAAAATTAAAATAAAAACGGAGCAAGCCCTCACTGCAGGCACAGTGGTGGATGTCAGGGCCTCACCTGGGGCTGGACCCTGGTCAGATACCTCTGCCCCACTGGAGCCGCCTTCCCTGAAGTCCACCCGGCCCTTCACCCACCGTCCTGCCTCAGGGGCCACTGCAGTCAGAAGCCACGCAGTGAGGCCTCCAGCAAGAGCCCCCGGCCCAAGAACGCGGCCTCTGACAGGGCTCCGGGCTGCCTGGTTGCCCAGGGGCACAGAGAGCTGCCTTTCGTCATCAGGCGAGGACTTTCCTCTGGAAGCCAGCCCTGTCCCCACCTCGGCTGAGTCGCCGTCTACATGCGGAGGCCCAGCGAGCCGGCGCTCCAGTCTTTGGTTCTGATCCAGATTCTCTCTTTGGGGTGAAACTCACTCACTGATCCCCTAAAATTCTACCGCTAACCTGGTGGAGCAGGTGGGCTGATGGCGCCACCTGCTGGCTGTCCTGGAATGTGACCCCTCCCAAACTCGAGTCATCTTAGCACGCGCCCTGGGGCACTAGTGACCACCGCTAACAACCAGCCCCACCGCAAAGGGCAGGAGACTGAGTGGATCTGAACCCGGCTGGACCCCAGGCCCCACATCCCCAAGAACAACTTGATAACACTGTTTCTGGCCTTGCCCTGTGCTGCGAAGCTGTGCTGGTGACAAGAAAGGCCGGAAAATGAAATCCTGGACAAGGAGCTGGGACCTGCTAGTGGGGGACAGTGGCTTCTTGAAGGTGCCAGCCGGCGACCCCAAGGAAGGGGCCAAACCTCCTCCAGATCCGACTTGGTGCCGGTGGGCACAGCGTCTGGCTGTGCCCACCCACAGGCCAGGGCACCACCCGGGGCCAGGAAGGCTTCTGCGTTTCAGCCTGTTACATGAGAGCTGGCCAGAAGCTGGTGAAGGCCTGTCTCCACCTGGCCCTCACCCAAGGGTCCACCCCAGGCCGAAAACCAAAGCAGTGGGTGGCCTCTGCATCCAGAAAACGGGGTACACAGTCAGGGGTGCACTCCAAAGGGGCACAGGGGCTTCAGCAGCAGGAGGGGCTGGGGGACCACCCAGGTCCTGCCCTGTCCCTCCAAGAGGGGCCTGCCCGCAGCTGGTGGAGCCCCGAGGAACTCTGAGCCTGTCCCCAGGGCCTGGCTCCGTGTCACGGAGCTGTGAGAGCGGAAGTGAGGCCAAGAGCTGCAGCCTGTCTCAACCAGGCCCTCCCACCAGGGTCAGTGGGGCCTCAGAGGCTGCCCCCCCCAGCTCACCTGGCTTCTTTCTCTCTTGCCTAGTCCCATGGCTCCCTTAGTGCCCCTGGAAAGGGCCCTTCTCCTAGGCTGGGATCCCTCTGGTCAGTCTGGGGGTGCCCCCTACCCAATGGGGCACAGATGCAGATGCTATGATCTGCTCCAGGCCCTGAGCCCTCAGGACACGTCCAATGCCTCCTCCCACTGCCCTCCCCCAGGACCCTCTCAGGGACCTTCCCCCAAGCTCTAGTCCAGCTGTGGCTTGTGCCTGGACGCCCGGCTCTCCTAGCTCTGTCCCCTACAGTGTGTGGCCTCCCAGACCTCTCTCTGTCCATCCCCTGAGCAGAGAAGCTGGGAGGGGTCAGGGGTCTGCACTTGTAGGGCCTGAGCGGTCACCAGCGTAAATATCCAGGTTCCAAAATCTGCACTCCTCGTTCTGTCCCGGGCCCCAGAGCACCTTCCATGGGCCTGCAGGGGGTGCCAGCGCCCCACCAAGGGGGCCCCCTTTTGACTTCCGGCCGCAGGGGGCGAGCGAGCATCCCGCAACGGGGGATCGGCACCTCCTCTGGCTCTGACGCCCCTCTCAGGACTTGGGGGCTATCCCAGGAGCCGCTCGCCATCCCGCGCCGCCCCGCGTTCACCCTCCCCCTCCCGCTCTGTGCTTGCCCCTCAAGGCCG